TATGTCACAGTCAAGACTCAATCTCGTCCACTCTCGGTAAGATGAGAGGGATTGGGTGGTGAGATGTGTAGAGCTCGAAAGATGATGGAATAAAAGGTTAACTACTACAAGCGAAACACTACTCTACTTATACTAAACGGTTGTTACCGTGTGAACTATGTACATATGGAAGCCTGTGTGTAAACGTCCCGTAGCCTCATGTCCGAATGTTCTTCAATGTTCCACAGCGTTCTACGGGGATAATTATATCCATGATGTCATGCCTCGCCTTAACCGGCCATCTCCCAGTCCTCTCGGCTAATCCCGACATCGTTGTCGTCATTGATATATATAGTCTGGGCGCTTATGATCTTGGGCGTTAAGATAGGGGATGTCGGTGTTGTCTCGATTAGATTAGATTTGTCATCGAATCGTGACATTCTGCTAAAGTAGTACAACTTCGAAATGTGTTTAAACAAATCTCTGCGTAAAACCCAGACGTGCACTTACCCCGTGACCCACAACCAATGACGACAATAGTCACGGCTATAGTAGCTGGGAGGAAAATACAGTCCAGAATCGCGTTATTCTACTGAGACTTTATACTAATTTACAATCTATTTTAGTACATGCCAGATAAGGGAAATGAGTAATAGAAATGAGGTATATGGTCCTTTTATCCATCTATCAACCGTGTTTGATCGGAGATCTGCAGCCTGTAGCCTATAGGATTCAATCCCGACAGTCTAGACTAGTTCCGAAAGTTCCGGAGAGCCTTCAGCATCATCTATCTTTAGTCAATGCAAGATCCGGAGCGATCTAGACCGCCTTGACGCCATATTGCGTGCTTTCAACCTAATCATGACAACCACATCTTTCATGTGAATGTTTGATCAAGTCTTCGGATCCTCTCGGACTTCATCAGGAATCCTCGGATTGACTCGCTTAGTCAACTGGTTCACCATCTGACATGTGATCACACTCTCGGAGCTCGCCTGAAGGTCTATTTTGGTAGTCGCGACTCTTCCATTATTCACGACTGTTTATCTGTGCCTGAGAATTACTATTTCTCATACGACTTGGAGTCATGACTATTATCTTTAGTCATGACAAGACTATATTTGCCCAAAATCCCCACTAGAGGTCTATGATCTTTGTGTAGCAGTGTTTAAATAAATATGGATATTCATACATTCTCCTTGGTATGGTTTCTAGTGATCCTGCGTGATACCGCCCTCACATATGAGTTATGGCCACTATCAGACGACTACTCACGACTAACTCGCTGAACACTGTACTGACCCCACATTGTTTAGAGTATCGTATACAGTCGCAGTATGGTCAATCGCTTGTATTCCATCACATCTTTGAGACTCAATCAGCAGCTCGGAGCTTACTCTGACTCTAATTGTGTACCACCGAGCAGTAAGAGGATCGGTTTAGACTGAGTTTCGCCAAATTGTAAGCGTGTTTCCATTTCAGCCGTCTCACTGCTCAAAGGAGCTGTGGCAGTGTCTAACAGTCACCATTCTACCTTTCTGAGATCTTCGGAGTTCTAGCATCGCACTACGGACTCCAGCCGCTGTGGAGGGGTTGGGTTAAGCGAAGGTCGGAGTTTAAATTTTGACATAATCATGGGACATCAAAATTCTATAATTATCCTACTCACTGCGTTGCGGCCCCTCGTAGTCACAGGGTATGACTACATGGGTAGACCACCCTGGTAGACACAGGTGTGTGACTACCTGTGACTACCCGTGTCAATGCTGGGTAGACCATGGTGGTCTACATTGGTCGAGCTTGGTCTACGTTCGTGTAACCGCGTGTACCCAGGGTAGACCAATGTAGAATAGTTGGAGAACAAGGTAGACACAGCTTGTAGATGAGTGTTGAGCATTGCCACTGCAAAATGAGTTGAAGTTGAGATTTCCGCGATCAAAGTGTGGTCGTGTTGTGACATATTTACTTGCTCACTTGCGAGAACCGTCGGCCCGGGCCAGTGAATTTGGGAAGTAAAATGGGTCTTGGGAAGGTGTTAGGAGTGAAATTAAAGCAAAAACTCAACTGACTTGAGCATGAAGGCAAAAGCGAGGTATGTCTACACGTGGCTACGTCATGTAGACCAACGTCGGCCCAAGTAGCCCAATGTAGCCGAAGCGTGACAAGCCTGTGACTACGGCGGCTCGGATCATGTAGCCCAACATAGTCACAGAATGGTTGTACCCCATGTACAACACCCTGGTCTACGGGGTTCGACCAAGGTACAACCACGTAGCCCAATGTAGTCTCACCTGTGACTACGAGGGGCCGCAACGCAGTGACTTACAGATCTCATTTTGCATCCCACTGCTCTGTACATTCCCAACCCCGTAATGTGCGGCTAGGTAGGAGACTGGTGCTCGGCGACTTTTTGTTATTGCCTTTAGTTCCTAGTCTCCCGGGGCTCCACAAAAGTTTATGATAGTCGATAAACTTCAATATGGAGTCTGATTCTGGCACCGGGCTTACCGGACCGATTACCATGATCAAATTAATTGTGATCACACGTGAACTCTCCCATGGGCTGAATCGGGATGAGTCTTTCCACTGTGCACTACAGTCTATCGACACATAAATGACCCGAATTGCATTCAAAACAACTTATGAACTGTCTAGAATTTTTTGCAGCACATTTGGGCCTTACAGCTAATTGCAGTGCTGAAGGCGTGAACAGAAAATTACTGTTTTGGGTAGATTTCGATCCTCGCGACCGATTTGCCCATAACTCTCTGAGTTTTGCATGGATCGAGCTGAAACCTAGCTAGATAATTTGTACTAATTCATACGCAATTAGTGATAGAAACAGAATTTAAAAATATCATATTTTGTATTTCCTGGCACTTGAGCACGTTGGCGTAAATTGGTGCTAGTTGGTTCAGTTCTTGTTGAAACGAGCTGATTTCTTAATACTAGGTACTTCGACATGTAAGAAGCAATGTGATAGAATCAAAAGGACCGTTATTCCCACCTGCCTTGTCCTTACCTGTTCAATGGTGTTCTGTACTGGCATGACAGAATTTGCTGTAATTACCTGATTTTCGAAGCGGAGAAAGTGATTCAGAATGTTGTATGGCACTCTTCAATGCTTAGACCTTGTCCAGTCCCAAACAACGCGTGGTATACGAGGTAATTGGGCCACGTCGTGTCCATTTACAGGAGTCAGGACTGACGAAATCATGGGAAGTCATGACATGATGGCCACTGTAAATAGACTCGATGCGACTCAATTACCTTATATAACACGCGTTTTTTGGGACTGGACGAGGGCTAAGTATTGAAAAGCGCCATACAACACTCTGAATCACTTTCTCCGCTTCGAAAATCAGGTAATTATAGCAAATTCTGTCATGACAGTCGCCACCTTCCCGCCGCTGCCCCCTCCATTCCCGTCCCCGTTGGCGGTGGCGTTGCTGCGCGTGCGCTCGCGAGGCGGCGAGGCGTGCGGCGGCGGCAGGCAGTGGTGCCTCCCTTTATTCTGCTGCTGCGAGCTAGTGGAGTTTGAGCGCGTGAGGAGCGCGGTGGATGTTGTGCGGATGGGGTAGGGGTGTGCGTTGGGCTTGAGGTCCTCGATGCTTGGGGTGCTGCGGTGCGGCGAGCCTATACATGATGAATAAATGAAATTGGTAAGAATCGCAGTAGTAGGAATATGCTTCCAGCAGGGGAGTCAAAGAACGAATTGGTCCGCGACCGGGGCGTGGGCGAGCTATTCACATTCGTAGTGTTGTTGTTATTGGTACTATTCTCCCGAAACCGGGACGTGGTCGGCGACTTTGTGGGCGAGGCGGGGCGAAGGCGAGTGACACAGGGCCCGGGCTGGATATCGTCGACATCGTCTGTGTAGTCGTCCGTCATCGAAAGCTCAAGCCTCAGATGAACGAGCACGACGTCAGTCTCAGTGGGTGGGAGAAAGAACCAGCCGGGCTTGGTTCAAGCGTCAGGGTCAAATTATGGTGAGGTATTAACGTATATGAACCGCCACACATATCTGCGGCATAGATAGTGCAGGAAAGCCTCGGTGGATCATGGTGGATCGTCTCTGTTACTTAAGCCAATAGCAGTTTTACAGCGGGAAGATGGGGGGGGTCCGAATCCCTCTCGAGGCATAATGGGGATGTTCCTAACTTTTTTTCATGCAACATATTCCGCGGATTATTTTCTCGCTGTGCAATAACTAACTTTCTGTATAATACACATCTTTTTCTCCGTGCGACTCAGATAAACTTCACTTGAACTCAAACTCACACTGACTGATTGATATTTTATTGGGGGCGGTCTATTTACAACCTCCTTTCGCACTTACAACACCTATTATCAAATAAGAACAGCAACACCTCGGTGGATCGTTGGTTGATCATCCCTTCTCCGTTTCGAGCCATGCTAAGACTATGAGATCATGGGAAGACGAGGGTTCGAATCCCTCCCGAGGCATGAGAATGCAGGCAAGAGGACTGTCTCTTTTTTCCTCGTCCTATGAATTTGTGTCTGCATCAATTTTACATTGACTTCGTCCGGTTATATCCATTGAAAGACTGTGATTCGCTAGCACTAGGAAAGAGTCCGCGGTAATTTCATTCATTGATTCTGATGATTTAGTCGCTCAGGTCTACAGAATTCACTGCACCCACCAAGCTTCGAAAAACAGAGAATAAGCCTTGGTGGATCATTGGCAGATCATCCTAGCTTTACAAGTCGTGGTCATACGGGAATATACGGGAAGACGGAGGTTCGAATCCTCCCCAAGGCATTCAGGGATCATGCTGCTCTATTTTTCTTTTCTTTTCTTTTCTTCTTCCTTCTGGCATACTCTCTATACATGCTCGGGATGCCAGCCGTTATGTGCAGTCGACTGAGCACTCGGAAGAACAAAAACGAATTTGATGTTCACTGTACTTCTTGTGTACTTGCGTTTAAGTAATAAGCGGCCACAAGGATGAAAACAGAGAAATCACAGCACCTACTCAGCCTCCAACTGTAGACAATAAGCCTTGGTAGATCAATGGGCAGATCATTCCTACTGTTTACTTGCGGGTGTACTAGGGGAAGCCGAAGGTTCGAATCCTCCCAGAGGCATGGGTTTTCACTTATGAAGCGTGACTTTTTCGTTCTTGCCTTGCATGTTCCCCTTGTTTCATTGTGTCATTTCAAACACACCAGTCTCTGTGTTCATCCACGCATATAGAATTTCCCAACCAATTGAAATCCACAGTCATTCCATTTTTGTTTGCTCCGATATCCAATCGTAGCTTACCATGTTGAAAAGGGACTCGCCGCATTCAGAGACTTCTCGTACCCATCCAGCCTCTAAATACAGAGATTAAGTCTTGGTAGATCAAGTAGATCGCCCCCACTCAATAATAGGCCCCAAATATTGTGTTACACTTGGGAAAACGAAGGTTCGAATCCTCCCCAAGGCATGGCAATGACACCTTTAAAGCCTTTTTATTCTCACTTTTTTGTTTTCTCCATCGTTTCAGTTCTTTCAAACCCCGCCAGTCTGTGTGTTCACCTACATACACACGTAGAATTTCCAAACCAATTGGAGTCCACATTCATTCAATTTTTGTTTGTTTGCTCCGATATTCAATCGTAGCTTAGAAGGTTGAAAAGTGACTTGCCACATTCAGAGACTTCTCGTACCTAGCCAGCCTCACAATACAGAGATTAAGCCTTGGTAGATCAAGCAAATCACCCCCACTCAACAATAGGCCACTATATTGTGTTACACTTAGGAAGACGGAGGTTCGAAACCCCCCTAAAGCATCTGCGGAAAATCTGGGTTTTTTTTTGCTTTCTTCCTCCTGGCCTGTACTATACTGCCAGCCGTTTGTGAGCAGTCGACAGAGTACTTAGGAAAAAAATTGAATCTGAAGCTTCCTGAGGTTGAAGGAGACAGGGGGTAGTAGCCATCTTCGTCACTTCGTTACTTCGCTTATTTCGCCTATTTTCACGAAACCTCGTCAATTTGATCGCATTTAGGGAAAGTTCGTTACTTCCGACGATTTTCTGTGTAAGTTCGTCATTTTAACTCGGCACGTTCAAGAACCCGGAACATCGGCCATCATTGTTCCTTCAGCACAAGGCGGACGGGTTTTTTCATCTAGATACCTTACCCTAACATTAACCACTAACCCTAACCGCTAGCCCAAACCAGAACCACTAACCCAAGCCACTAACCGCTAACCGCTAACCTCTAACCTCTAACCACTAGCCCTAACCAGCCGAGCTCGGCACACCGCCGATTCTGTGATGTGCCGACAGGCACGCGGTACGTTGATCCAAGGAAAGTGACGAACCTTCGTCGAAATTCCTTGAACTCACGAACTTTCATAGAATGCCATCAAACTGATGAATTTAAGCGACGAAGATGGCGCGGACTCGGAGACAGGCCAATGCACAGAAATTGTTGCGCTTATCTATCCTCGAAATATAGAGAATAATCAATTGGCACTCAGTGACTCTCCCGATAGTTTCTCCCGGGAAGACGGAGGTTCGAGTCCTCCCCAAGGCATGACGGTGATCGTCGAACATTTTTTTTACCCTGAAATTTATATAATGGACCGGCGACATATTTTGTTGCTTCGTAGAGGTCGAAAATAAAATTTACCTCCAATCAGTGCTGGCTCCCCGCATTATCTTTCAGAAGAAGCAAAGGAATTATTGCGTGCAAAAAAAATTGTTCCATTTGTCCAACCCACAAATGAATTATTAAGTCTTGGGACACGTGTCGGCAAAGGTGTCTGGGGCAGCACGGGACTCGACTGGGACACAGGGGACCATCGAGAGTGTGCGGGTGCCCCCCCCCCCCCCCCCGCATCACCGACAGCGAGCGTGGGGGCAGCGCATTAAAGACGCCGCGAGGCACATCGAGGGAAAAAAGACGCCGCGACGCACGCCGAACTCGCTTGGGGCAGCGTTGGAACTCGTGTGTGGACGAACAAGAGCGCACGGGAGGTAGGCCCGACGGATACCGATACCGAAGGGCACCGGAAAGAACGAAACGGGAGGAAACGGGAGGACGAGGCAGGGTGAAGGGTTAAATGGGGGATCGAAGGGCGAGGATAGATGGAAGGAGGGGTCAACGGAGGAAGAACTCATCCAAGCCTTCCCAGCTTCTCCTTGCCTATGCGTACATATGAGCGGCCGCCCACGCGCCGGCCTCGCCGCCGAGGGACGCGGACATCCAGCGCAGAGCGAGGTGACATTGTTTATTGCTTTATTGTCCGGTGTGGTGTCTGTCGGGTCAAATGCAATTAGGAACAGGGAATATAAGGATAGAGAAGAAACGCACCCAACCCAGGCGGCGGCGCCCTCGGGCTCTCCGCCCCCGCACCCCCATACGCCATCCCTTCGCTCGAGCTCGGGGTGCGCGAGTAGCGGTGCCCGCGGTACTCGCCCCGCCGTTTACCCGCCACCTTCCCACCGCTGCACCCTCCATTCCCGTCCCCGTTAGCGGTGGCGTTGCTGCTCGTGGGGTGCGGCGGCAGGCAGTGGTGCCGCCCTCTATTCTGTTGCTGCGAGCTAGTGGAGTTTGAGCGCGTGAGAAGCGCGGTGGATGTTGTGCGGATGGGGTAGGGGTGTGCGTTGGAGGTCCTCGATGCTTGGAGTGCTGCGGTGCGGCGAGCCTATACATGATGAATAAATGAAATTGGTAAGATTCGCAGTAGTAAGAATGTGCCTCCGGCAGAGGAGTCAAAGAGCGAGTTGGTGCGCGACCGGGGCGTGGGCGAGCTATTCACATTCGTGGTGTTGTTGTTATTGGTGGTATTGTCCCGAAAACGGGGTGTGGTCGGCGACTTTGTGGGCGAGGCGGGGCGCGGAAAGCGAGTGGCACAGGGCCTGGGCTGGATATCGCCGACATCGTTGGCGTTGTCGTCCGTCGTCGAAAGCTCAAGCCTCAGATGAACGAGCACGACGTCAGTCTCACTGGGTGGGAGAAAGAACCAGCCGGAAAGGAGATGCTTGATTTGGTCATGATTGGTTGGGAGGCCGGGAGTTGCCGGGCTCGGTTCAAGTTTCAAGTTCAAATTATGGTGAGGTATTAACATATCTGCGGCATAGATAGTGTAGGAAAGCCTCGGTGGATCATGGTGAATCGTCCCTGTTACGTCAGGTAGAGTACTGCGTAGACAAGGGGAAGGCGAGGGTTCGAATCCTTCTCGAGGCATAAGCGGGGATGCTAACAGTTTTTTGTATGCAACACATTACGCGGATTATTTTCTCCCCGTACAATAATCAACTTTCTGTACAATACACATTTGTTTTGCGCCCGACCCAGATAAACTTCACTTGACCTCAAACTCACTGACTGATTGATATTTTATTCGAGGCGGTCTATTTACAACTTCCTTTCGCACTTACAACATCTATCCTCAAATAAGAGCAGGAACGCCTCGGTGGATCGTTGGTAGATCATTCCTTCTCCGTTCTTTTGAGCGATTTGGACTGTGAGATCATGGGAAGACGAGGGTTCGAGTCCCTCCCGAGGTATGAACAGCCGGTAAGAACGACTGTCTCTTTTTTCCTCACCTGGTGCAGGTTTTTCTGCATCAATTTTACATTAATTTCGTGCGGTTCTATCCATTGAAGAACGTGATTAACTAGCACTAGGAAAGAGTCCGCGGTATTTTATTCCATTATTTCGGATGGTGACGGCTGAAGCAGAGGTAGGCGACCTGCATAAAAATCACTGCACCCATTCAACCTCCCAAAATATGAAGAATAAGCCTTGGTGGATCAATTGGCAGATCATCCCAGTGCATCATTCAGAATATACGGGAAGACGGAGGTTCGAATCCTCCCCATGGCATATGACCTGAAGATGTGGACTTTTGTTCTTGCCTTAGTTATTTTACCCCCTTTTTTCATTCGAGAGTCACAACATGCCAGCCTGTGCATTCATCTACACATGTAGAATTGCTATACCAATTGAAGTCTCGATTCAATTTTGTTTGCTCCGATTTTCAATAGTAGCTGACAGGTTGCACGGGGAGACTCAATTGGTACAGAAATGACAACACTTAACCAAGTTCGAATTGTGGGGAATGAGCCTCGGTAGATCAATCAGCAGATCATCCCTATTTAGTTATTTGACTTCGAGTTGCATAACCGGGAAGACGGAGGTTCGAATCCTCCCAAGGCATTGATCGAGTCTTGAGACGTCTTTTTGTTCTTGCCTGGATTTTTTTCCATTGTTTCAATTCATGTGCTGCTCCACCAGCTCAGATGTAGAATGGCCAAGCCAATTGTAGTCCACATTCGCTTGCTTTTTGCTCAGATATTTGGTTGATCGGCAAGGATGAAAAATCGACCTGCACTAGTACGAAAATTACTGCATCTATCCAACCTCCATAGAAATGTTAAATAAGCCTTGGTGGAACAACTAGCAGGTCGTCCCAGTCTTATAGTACAAGTCGTCTGCGTAGTCCGTGGGAAGGCGGAGGTTCGAATCCTCCCAAGGCACGCACCAAATGTTCGACGACTTTTTGTTCTTGCCTTTATGTTCCCCGTGTTTCATTCGAGAATCAGAACATGCCAGCCTGTCCATCCATTGACCTATGTAAAATTGCCAAACCAATTGGAGTTCACATTGATTCAAGTTTGGGTTTGTTCATATTTCAAATATTCGGGATTCAAGCGTAGTTTGAAAACGGACATGCGCACAAAAATCACCGCACCTATTCAACCTCCGAAATACTGAGAATAAGCCTTAGTGGATCAAATTGACATATCATCCCAGCTTTATATTCGAAGAGTCGTAGTTCATGGGAAGACGGAGGTTCGAATCCTCCCTAAGGCATAATTATACCCTCAAAGACTTTTTGTTCTCATTTTTTTGTTTTCTTGATCGTTTCAGTTCTTTCAAAACACGCCAGTCTGTGTCTTTATCTACATACACACGTAGAATTTCCAAGCCAATTGGAGTCCACATTCATTCAATTTTTGTTTGCTCCGATATTCAGTCGTAGCTTAGAAGGTTGAAAAGTGACCTGCCGCATTCAGAGACTTCTCGTACCTATCCAGCCTCAAAATGCAGAGATTAAGCCTTTATGGATCGTTGGTAGATCATCCATCCATTGCCGCTTATTTGCAATCAATAAAACACTACCTCCTCTGTATATTGAACCTCGTAACGTGTGGCTGGGTAGGAACCTGCGAAGATAGGGGAAACCGCGCGAAATAGTGGAGCTGGAGGAGGACAAGGGAAGAAACACGAAATTCAGACCAAATGTGCAAATTCAGACCATTTGGGCACGATAGTACATGTTTTCAACCCTAGATTACATTCCATGTCCTCCATGGCTAGGCCTGAGTCTGATCCATGATCGGCCCGGACGCTTTGGACCCAAATCCACATTTGCTCCCAAACAGCACATCTTCACCTTCTGGATCGTGAGCGACGGGAGCTACCCATAAATCTATCTGCTTTTCGCTATTCGATGGCAGCAGGATTTGACCATGGGACTCGCACGAAGTAGCTAAAAAAAGTACGATACGTATCGAATCAGACCGACAGTGCCTGAAGCCAGCTGGAGACGCACCTCCCGGATTCTTGCCCACAATGAAGGATAAGATCGCAATCATTATCCCCCATGTGCTCAGGAACATGGACAGGGTCGCAGATAGGACGCTGACGGCGAAGCTCCCGATGGGCTTTCTTTGCATAATGTTGCATATGTAGGGTATCTGAACTACGGCGGGTGGTGTCGGCACGTCTGGTGGTGGGGGGTCTGTGGAATTAGCATAGGCTATGCCTTGGGTGGTGGCAACCGCCCGAAAGGCAGGGTTAGCTGAGCTTGTAATCCGGACCAATTGTCTGAAGGACGTGGTGTTGGTGAACAGCTTGAAGGCGGGTGAGACAGAAATCCATATAGAGGTAGGAAGAAATGATGTAACATACATTGTCCACGGTCCAGTGTCCTAAATCCAATCTCACGCCGGCGTAGAATACATTTATCACGTTGTACAAATTCGCCTCATCTGCTGCGATGTCCGAGGCACCCAGAATGTTGAGATCTATGTTGCTAATTGCGCTGTAGCTCGTGAACGGCCGGATGACACACTGGAACGGCGGAGACGGATCGCAACTGGGTTCCCCTTGGGCTATAACTTTGTAAATTTGTTGGGAGGGGTGAGTCGTCCCACCCGAAGTGTATAGTCTGTTGGAGATATCCCCGTAGGCTTCACCTAGGCAAGTCGGAGTCAACAGGCATGCCGCACAGCGGTGCCAACGACGGGAAAGTACCCATGATATTCCTCATTCCGTCGGTTATCGCTCGAGCGAGGCTGTTGAGTGGGAACGCGGACACGGCTCGGCTCCCGATCATGGCGTGATTCGAATAACTGCGTTGAAGATATGCGAGGGAAAAGATGTGCCCAGAGAAAGAGGCATTTCACTTACCTCCATGAAGTAACAGCCCGAAAGGTAAGAGGTGGCGGGCATACTATGGTAACCTGTGCGATTTGTGAGCTATCTGGAATTGCCAAGGGCATTTTAACGTAGGGCTCCGACCCGTCCCCGTCAGCGACGGCGACGGGTCCCGTCTGACGGGGACGGGACCCGTCCGACAAACGATAAAATATCGTTTCGTGACGGCCGGGTACGGGACGGGTAGACCCGTCAACGGGAATACCCGTCCCCGGCCGTCGACGGGTCAACGGGTGCCAACAGACATATGTTGGCAGGACCCCAGAATACCCCCTTGGAGGTCAGGTCTCGACTGACCCAAATTGCCCAATTTTTTTCCAGACAGATTTCTGCAAGATGCGGCCAAGATGCGGCAGTTTTTGTCCAGACAGGACCTAGCCGAGCCTTCCAAAAAAGGGGTAATCTTCTGTTCGCACGACCCTCAAAATGTGAAATCTCCGCAAATATACCCATTTGTGCCGTTGAAGCGAAATGCGAGTGAGTTGGACGTATTCTTGATGCCCCGAAGTCTTTTTTGACCAAAGCTTTTCGCCCAACATGGACTCAAATTTATTCAGCAAAGTGCCCCGTCATGACGGCCGTAACGGGTGCAACGGACGGGACCCGTCCGTCGGCCCCTCCTGGCTGAACCCTCGACGGACGGGTGAGACCCGTTGGTTGAATATGACGGCCGTTTTCCGACCCGTCCCGTCGACGGGCCGGGCGGCTCGGAGCCCTATTTTAACGAATTGACCGTGGCCGTGATGAGACGGTCTCCGGGTTTAACTATGATCTCAAACTGGTCAACATCACAAGCAGTGAGATCCTGGTTGGCGTATAAAAAGCCCGCTCCGGCAGGGAGCCCGCCAGCCTCGGATTGAGAAGATTGAGAGGATCCCACATCGAAGATGCTGTAGGAAAACGCGGATATATTGGTGCGGAACGTGTCTCCCAGCTGGAACTGATGTGGAAAGCAACCGAACGTCCTGCTTCCAGTGTACCACATAGCCAGGTCTGATACAGGTGTGGAGCTGAAATGGGTACTGGTAATGGTGATCACGTCGTACCCTGTTTTGGATTTGAATTGAGATATGCAGGAGAGCACTGGTCGGACCGAATAGGGGGCCTACCGACGAGAAATGCGTTGGTGGTCGCAAAAACAGCCGTACTAACTATGCCGAACCCCAGTATAAAGTGGCAATATTTCCGCGGGAATGGTTTGCTTATTGGGTATGACTGTGTTAAATGTTGACTGACCATCAGTTTCTTCAAGCCACGACAAATTTCGACGCACAAATAGGAACTTCATAATGTGATGGTGGTTCGAAGTAGCGAGCGCTGGAGCTCGAGTAAGTTGGGAAACTGTTATATGTACGCTCAACCATTTTAAGAAGGCTTCGACGTCGATGTGCAGTGGTCTGACAGATTAGCGCTTCTGGAACTGATATGACTCGTGATTACGCCAACCCTCTTGATGATATCTTCGATTGACTCCAGAGCACCGATGCAGTGCGTCCTGCGCGGCTTCCATTTTCACGGAGATGTGCGCCCGCCGCCTTGGTTCTGGCTCATGAAAATTTCTCCAATCTTCAGCATCTTCCATGGTTCTTCGACCAATACCTTTCTCAAGATCTGCACCATCTTTTTGCTCCGACTCTGAGGGCCATTCTCCAGTGCAACCTCAAGATCACTGATCTGCTCCCAGGCTGGGATTCTGAGATGGAAAGACGTGTCTATTAATGTATGGTCCGAAAGAGCGAAGTGGCTACCGGGCAGCAATGTCACGGCTCTTTTCTCATGTTCATTGGCAACCTGAGGATCATTCAGGTCTCCTAGTTTTCTATATCGGTAGATTTGGGTCCTTGTCTGATGTCAGTTGGACACCTCTCTGAAAGTTGTCTAGAGCCAAGTTAAGGTCGGACAGATTGTCTGAGCGCTTGTATCTGTCCGTATAACATATAGCCACGGACCAGAGGTGTCCAGCAAGGTCTGGATTCTCCTCTGATGTCAAGCTGATGGCAGCCTTCTCATTTTCCAGTCGAGATTGAAGGTCTGCCAAGTATCCCAAAACCTTGTATTTGGTTTTATAGGACTCTGCTAAGGAGCGCAAATATTTGGGCAGATTTTGATCACCTTCAGGAGTCAACTTGATACCTCTGTGATTATATTCCAGGGCCCTCAAGATTTGCTAATGTCCCTCCAGTCCTGTGATAGCGGACTCTCAAATGGGCAGGCAAGGAGTTAAAATACTCGGGCAGTTTAGGATCCTCCTCATCTGTCAACCTTATAGCCATTTGATCATTCTGAATTGCAGATTGCAGGTCCGCAATACTTCCTGGACTGCTTTTGAACTTCTCTGCATACGAGGCAGCCAACGAGTGAAGGCGGGCAGACATCTCTGAGTGTCTTTCAGATGCCATCCTGATGGCCCATTGATGACTGGTGGCATCCAACTCTGCTAAATTCCCCAAGTTCTTATATCGGGTTTTGTGACAGATCGCCAATGAATGGAGACGGTCCGGTAGCTCTGGGTCTCGGTCTGAGGACAATCAACAAGCCATTTCATCATTTTTCACCCAAGATTCAAAGTCCGTTAGATTGTGGAGTTCCTCATAATTATCTATGTGTGATACAGCCAAGCTTCGAAGATATCCAGGGATGTCTGGATGGCCTTCAGGGCTCAACTGCAAATCAATTTTGTTTGAAACTGTCCAGTGCTGACTCAAGGAATCTCAACTTCTGCGAGTTATGTATAGTACAAATCCGCCAGAGGTTCCTAAGTTCTGCAGGGCATGTGGCAGATTTGGATGGTCACTTGGTGTCAATTCCACAGCCCAATCTACATCTTGTACATGTTATAAGGCTGGTGGATGTACTCGCTCTGATCCTATTTTATATTTCAATATCCGGCGCCATCACTTTGTCCTTGCTTGGTTGATGGCTCGAGCGCGATGCGACACGTGAGCTGTGTCTTCCGAATCGTTTTCAGCTTTATTGCGAACCAATCTGACTTCTGTCCCGCCCACCGCAGTGCTATTGCAGCGATGGACGATATCGAGCCCACGCAGCCGTCCGAGCTCCGCATTTCGGCCGCGCTGTGACAGGGACTTCAGCCAACTGATGTACCCGCGCCCGACGTGTGCTACGCAGAGCTGCTCCACATCGCGCGGGCTGCAGCCGTGGACCATGAACGCGACCCGCCGTGCATGTATCCGCCAAGTGCACGCCCCCGTGTAGCCCCCTCCCGCGCTGTGTCGTCCTCCGTCGGCGGCGCACCACATCCGCCCATCCTGACGCGTACATATGAGGCATGCCCTCGCCGACATGTCGTCCCTCCATATTGCTCCATATCGCCATCCACAACGCGCACGGCAAGTCATCCACCTCGCGTATATCGCCCACTTCCACCACATCATCAACCCCCCACGCCCGTCGCAGAGAGTAGGGTGACGCGACCTCCCCTCCAGCAGGCCATAAAACCACCATGCGTCATCGCCACGCCATCGCGAACGACTTGCTGCGCGCCTGAGGCCGGGCAAGGCCTTCCCGCCTCCTCCGCCCCTCGCTCATCAGGTGATTCCCGGCGATCGCCCCACCGCCCTCCGCATCGCAACACCATCGCGGGCGACGACCTCCGTTCAGCGCTCAGCGCTCACCGGCACCCTCCCCATGACATACATCGTCGCGCCGTCTTGGTGCTGGCCTGCGCCCGTCACAGGGCCGCCCGCCTCCTCCGCCTCTCACTCGTCGGCCGTCCGCAGCCTCCCGCACATCGCGCGCATCGTTGCAACGCCATCGCGGACGACGTACTGCACGCACCGGCAAGACCACCCCTCGCTCAAGGTCATTTACAGCCTCGCGCGCATCGAGAGCTCGACGTGTACGTGAGGTCTCCCCATCTCCGCCAGCGCCTCATCCCCCAGCGCCGCGCGGCAGCTACGACAAAAAGGCGCGTCTATGGAGCAGTATGCGAGTCGAGTCGCGCCGTGCTCGCAGCGAAGCACGGCGCCCAGCAGAGGATCAGAGCGGCGTCCCCGATGGAGAATAGTCGGTCGGGGCGCTACTAATATCTTTGAGCGAGAATGGCGACACGCGTTCGAGCGCGCGGGCGCCCCCACACTGGCCGACTGATACCGACGCAGGAAACCCATGTGGAGCGCAGAAAACGGATCATGGAACGGGGAAGAAGACGTAGGAGTGAAACGGTCAAGGGGGAGAGGGTGACATCGGGGAAAGAAGATGAAAACACGTACCCATGCCTCCCCAGCTCCTCCTCGCCCATGCGCATGAAGGCACGGCCACCCGCGCCGCGGCGCACGGTCCACGCGCCGGCCTCGCCGCCGAGGCATGCGGCCAGCTGTGCGAGCGTCCAGCGTTTGGGCGAGATGGTGATGGTTATTCCTTTATTGTCTGGAGTGGTGTCTGTAATTATTAAATCAGGATTGGGAGCAGAATATGCGTAGAGGGGGAACGCACCGAACCCGGGCGGCACCAGCAGCGCCCTCGGGCTCTCTGCAGCGACACCCCCATACGCCATCCCCTCGTTTGAGCTGAGACTGCGCGAGTATCGGTGCCCGCGGTGCTCGCCCCTCCTCTCGCCCCCCGCCTTCCCGGTGCTGCCCCCACCATTCCCGTCCCCGCTAGCACTGGCGTTACTACTGGTTCTCTCCCGGTGTGGCGAGGGGTGCGGGGACGCCGGCGGCACGTAGTGGTGCCGCCCTCCATTCTGCTGCTGCAAGCTGGTGGAGTTGGACCGGGTGAGGAGCGCGGTGGATGTTGTGCGGATAGGGTGCGCGTTGGGTTTGAGGTCGTCGATGCTTGGGGTGCTGCGGTGCGGCGAGCCTATGGGCATAATGAATAAATTAAACTGATAGCTCTCGCAGTAGTCAGAATGTACCTCCAGCAGGGGAGTCAAAGAGAGAGTTGGTGCGCGACCGGGGCGTGGACGAGCTATTCACATTCGTGGTGTTGTTGGTGGTATTATCCCGAAAACGGGATGTGGTCGGCGACTTTGCGCGCGAGGCGGGGCGCGGAAAGGCGAGTGGCACAGGGCCCGGGCTGGATATCGTCGACATTGTCTGTGTAGTCGTCGTCGAAACCTCAAGCCTCAGATGAACGAGCACGACGTCAGTCTCAGTGGGTGGGAGAAAGAACCAGCCGAAAAAGGCGACGCCTATGGTTGGTCAGGAGGCCGGGAGTTGCTGGGCTTGGTTCAAGTTTCAAATTCAAATTATGGTGAGGTATTAACGTATATGAACCGTCACACATATCTGCGGCATAGATAGTGCAGGAAAGCCTCGGTGGATCATGGTGGATCGTCCCTGTTAAGTTACTTAAAATAATAGCACCTTTACAGCGGGAAGATGGGGGTTCGAATCCCTCTCGAGGCATAAATGAGGGGATGTTCACACTTTTTTTCATGCAACACATTACGCGGATTATTTTCTCGCTGTAAAATAGCGACCTTTCTGTGCAATACACATTTTTTTCTGCGCGCGACCCAGATAAACTTCACTTGAACTCAAACTCACACTGACTGGTTGATATTTTATTCGGGGCGGTCTATTTACAGCTTCCTTTCGCACTTACAACATCTATCCTCAAATAAGAGCAGGAATGCATTGGTGGATCGTTGGTAGATCATCCCCTCTCCGTTTTGAGGTCTGTTAAAACTACGAGATCATGGGAAGACGAGGGTTCGAGTCCCTCCCGAGGCATAAACAGCCGGTAAGAACGACTGTCTCTTTTTTCCTCACCTTATGTAGTTTTTTCTGCATCAATTTCACATTAACTTCGTGCGGTTCTATCCACTGAAGGACGTGATTAACTAGCACTAAGAAAGAGTCCGCGGTATTTTATTTCATTATTTCAGATGGTGACGGCTGAGTGACGGCTGAAGCAGAGGTAGGCGACCTGCATAAAAATCACTGCACCCATTCAACCTCCCAAAATATGGAGAATAAGCCTTGGTGGATCAATTGGCAGATCATCCCAGCGCATCATTCAGAATATACGGGAAGACGGAGGTTCGAATCCTCCCCATGGCATATGACCTGAAGATGTGAACTTTTGTTCTTGCCTTAGTTATTTTACCCCCTTTTTTCATTCGAGATCACAACATGCCAGCCTGTGCATTCATCTACACATGTAGAATTGCCATACCAATTGAAGTCTCGATTCAATTTTTTGCTCCGATTTTCAATAGTAGCTGACAGGTTGCACGGGGAGACTCAATTCGTACAGAAATGACAACACTTAACCAAGTTCGAATTGTGGGGAATGAGCCTCGGTAGATCAATCAGCAGATCATCCCTATTTAGTTATTTGACTTCGAGTTGCATAACCGGGAAGACGAAGGTTCGAGTCCTCCCAAGGCATTGATCGAGTCTTGAGACGTCTTTTTGTTCTTGCCTGAATTTTTTTCCATTGTTTCAATTCATGTGCTGCTCCACCAGCTCAGATGTAGAATGGCCAAGCCAATTGTATTCCGCATTCACTTGCTTTTTGCTCAGATATTTGGTTGATCGGCAAGGATGAAAAATCGACCTGTGCTAGTACGAAAATTACTGCATCTATCTAACCTCCATAGAAATGTTAAATAAGCCTTGGTGGAACAACTAGCAGGTCATCCCAGTCTTATACTACAAGTCGTCTGCGTAGTCCGTGGGAAGGCGGAGGTTCGAATCCTCCCAAGGCACGCACCAAATGCTCGACGACTTTTTGTTCTTGCCTTTATGTTCCCCGTGTTTCATTCGAGAATGAGAATATGCCAGCCTGTGCATCCATTGACCTATGTAAAATTGCCAAACCAATTGGAGTTCACATTGATTCAAGTTTGGGTTTGCTCATATTTCAACGAAATACTGAGAATAAGCCTTAGTAGATCAAATTGACGTATCATCCAGCTTTATATTCGAAGAGTCGTAGTTCGTGGGAAGACGGAGGTTCGAATCCTCCCTAAGGCATAATTATACCCTCAAAGACTTTTTGTTCTCATTTTTTTGTTTTCTTGATCGGCTTCGACACAACACGATAGGGGCTCTGGGTGACGTCAGAACCCGCATTGGCGCCGTCCGTGATACGATCGTGCGAAATTGATTGACGTTTGTCTGGCAACGTTCACAAACCAAACTTGTTCACAAACCAAAACTTGTTTTGAAAGCTTTGTGTCTTACCGTGCTCAGCTTTGTCCAAACCCACCAAAAATGCCTTATGTAATTCCCACGTCCTGTTTCATCCGCTCCCCCCTGTGCGTCCACTTCTGTCCGGAATGGCCTACAGCACCGTCACTCTTTGGTCTCGCTCTTATATCCGTATCCCTATCCGTCACCATCCCTACAGCTCGCTCCCTGCTCATTCTTTTCGCTCCCTCCGCCAGTTCCTCTTGTCTTAAATCCCCTCCTCCAAGTTCCCCACGGCGCCTTTGCAATGTTGCGCTCAACTCCACGCCAAAACCCTCTTTGGACCTTGAGCTGGGACACAAGTGGCCTAGGATGTTGCCCATCCCTCTCGATCGCGAACGACGGATCCCCGTAGTTACCCCTGTAAAAACATTTGCAATTCATCCTTTCCTCACCCCCTCACTTTCTGCTTTAATATGCGCCGCCTTTTCTGGGAATATCACCTTGTGCTTCTGTATCTTTCTTTTCACTCATGTCTCGTCATGGTCCACACCGGATTCTCCGACCAAAAACATGAATTATTATTGCCACAGTCCCGACGACTGCAGGCAGTAACGTGCAATGTATTTACGTGGCTCTCTGTACCGTATCGGCGCATTCTGCAATTGTTGCGAACCATAATTTTAGTTCAAGGTGTGTACATCCGCATCCACATTTCTACAACATCTGACAGCGGATAATATCACGTACAAAAGGCGGCGCAGTGAATCCCTTTACAGCGCACGTCGACACCAAGTTCCCATTATTGGGGGCTTCAGCTCTACTGCTCACAACTCCCAGAGCCACTCGCTTGACTCAAGAGTCGTCCATTTGGCCAGTTGTACCAGCACAGCGGCAGCATATGTAATGTTGTCCTGGATAAAATGCAATGAAGGAGAGCCAAAGGGGCTTGCCATCCTGGGCAACATTGATCCAAAGTGAATATTGACACATGCACCAGAGGAGATCAGAGACGAGGAGAAGAGGCTCAAATTTTTGGCCAAGCAGACTCTGCAACGTGCTGGAGATCTACTGAGTTGGTACACTGGAACAGTTATGATGTTGGCCCTTTGGGTATCCATGTACTTATGTAGCCGTACAAGTCTTCAATTTTTTGGTTTGTGCCTTGCCGCTTGCCGGCCATCCCATTTGGACACTTTGTGTCTTACCATGCTCAACTTTGTCCAAGAAAAATGCCTTATGTAATTTCCACGTGGCGCTCGGCAGTTTCCAGCGAGTGAGGGCCGCGCGGAACGAGCGTTTGGTTTGTGACTCGCCGCTTGCGGCCATCCCACCAGTCATTATATTACATAGTCTCGTTACAAGCCGTTCTGCCCGAATCAGCCCTGCGGGCCGCTGGACCGTCGGAGTTTGAAAAATGTAGTGGTATCATCTCTGCACATTCTTTTCAAACTCCGCCGGTCCGGCGGGCCGTAGGCCCGGATACCCCAACGGCTGGTTCTTAGACTAATATTATATTATATAGTAGATTATCTCGAAAACGGGACATGGTCGGCGACTTTGTAGGCGAGGCGGGGTGCGGAAAGGCGAGTGCGGGGCTGGATATCGTCGACATGGCCGTGGTCGTCGTTCAAACCTCAGATGAACGAGCACGACGTCAAGGAGTCTCAGTGGGTGGGAGAAAGAACCAGCCGAAAAAGAAGACACTTGATTTGGTCATGATTGGTTGGAAGGCCGGGAGTTGCCGGGCTTAGTTCAAGGTGAATTCGAAGGGTACACTTATCTGGTGCATAGGTATCACAGGACAGCCTCAGTGAATCATGGTGGATCGTCCCTGTTACTTGAGCCAGCAACACCACTTCTACAGTAGGAAGATGGGGGTTCAAATCCCTCTCGAGGCATAAGCGGAGATGCTAACACTTTTTTGAAGTTTTTCCATGCCACTAAAAGAGTGAGAACTCCTCAGCGAACGCGTAAGGAAACAAGCGCTGAGTGTGACATGCGTGACTACGAGACAAAAGGGGAAGCCAGTAATCGGCGCGGAAAAGGAAAGAGATTGATATATACTACCGTATTCTAACAGCAACACATTACGCGGATTATTTTCTTGCTGTACAGTAACCACATTTCTGTACAATGCACATTTTTTTCTGCACGCGACCCAGATAAAACTTCACTTGAACTCAAACTCACACTGACTGATTGATTGATATTTTATTCGCGGCAGTCTATTTACAACCTCCTTTCGCACTTACAAGCCCTATCCTCAAATAAGAAAGAGCAGGAACGCCTCGGTGGATCGTTGGTAGATCATTCCTTCTCCGTACTCCAGCAATCAAAGACTGAGATCATGGGAAGATGAGGGTTCGAATCCCTCCCGAGGCATAATGATGTCGTATGTCTCTTTTTTCCTCGCCCTATGTAGCTTTTTCTACATCAACTTCGCGCGGTTCTATCCATTCAAGGACGTGATTAACTAGCACTAGGAAAGAGTCCGCGGTAATTTTATTCATTAATTCTGATGGTTGGCTCGCATCGGGGTTCTCTGTGCTCCTATGTGCGAAGCCGCTGAGTCCCCAGAAGCTGTGTGATTCCTACGCGTACGACGGTTTTAGTGCTATCTCCTTCTTATCTCCTCCTTTCACATGCAATATATCCAAATGTCGCCACTTCATGTCATCTGCCATTTTATAATTAGCAAGCACTACTGGCTCACTCCATTTGTTGCAGATTTATTTTCACGGTGGTGAGGGGCATGGCGGATTTTCTTTCTGGATGCCACCACATTGCTGGACCAAAAATATGTGCGTGGAGATAGCAGCTTTTCTCGGCCGGCACAATAGCCCTTGTCTTTACCACATTTGAAAGATTTAAAGATAGGTCTGTTTCCGGTGTGAAATGTCAACAGACACATATACTGTGTGTATATCATTTGACTCATATCATGCTCATAATGGCCTTACTGCACAGCCAAAGACATATATATAAGCCCTGATGAATGGAACTCCTCCCTGTCATCGATGCCCACCATGCCTATTACCAAGAATGTCGAGAATCTTCTCCAATATATTATACTGGCAGCAACTACTACCAAGAACATTGCAGAAACAGCCAAAGTGCCTTTCCTGGGCTCAACTGCCGAATTATGCTTGTCAATCACAAAGTATATTGAGGTAAGCTGATGCCTCCACCCATTGGCACCATATTTAACAAAACAAAGACAACCAAATCAAACAAGGAAGAATACATTGAGATTATGGAGCACATTC